CCTATATTTCTTAATTATACATTACATTTTTTAAATGAACTGTACAAACCCAATACCTTAATCAAGAGCAGGAATATATATATACATATATATGTATATATGTGTGTATATATTTATAAATAAAACAAAATTGACCTTAAATTTGATCCATACCAATGCAAATTTCTATAGAATATCCCCCTTTAAATGTAAAGAAACATATATAAACAATCTTTTAGGGAATTTGAACATAGTTTTCTCCAAATTGCTTCCTGCTTTTTGTTGGGCAAAGTAATTTTTTGGAGGGTGTTCACAGCAACCTTTTGAGGGATCTTGGTCTATCCAACCACATGAGTCTAGAATTAATTCACAGGTTCTCATCTTCTGTGGAAACAAAAGCAGAACCTCTTTTCCAAAGCAACATATCCTTAGATCCAAATTTTGAAGACAAGATATCTTTAAAGTATATATGTTGGTTACTTAGCTCCTTCACAGTCAAAAAATTCAAAGAAAACACAATAAAATACATAATCCAGGCTAATCTATGGCTGTCTGTACTCTCTTTAAAGACTTTACCTTTTTTTTAAACCATTTACTTCTTTTTATAACTCTCTATACTCTTTTTCTTTTCTCTCCCAAGTCTATGTACATTTTTTTAATTTATTTATTTATTTATTAGTCTATGTACATTTATCCAACAATTTAGAGGTCTTTTTTAAAATCTAAATCTGCCTTTATTGTGTATGTATCTTTAATTATCTTCTATCCAGGAGCTCTTCTTAAAGTGCTAAGCACTTCTTAAAAACCTAAGCTGCAGCACTGCTAGAGAAAATATGGCCCTGCCTGCTTGCTCCACCCAGTCCAACATGGAGGAAGTCCATTCACTGCCTCTGAGACTGCCAGGTGGACGCCTCCTCACCACCTCAACTCTGATAACCAGTTGGCCCAAGCTGCCACTAAGTAACTTGCAGCATGCTGCCCAGAAACCCCATTTACATGTTCCACCTCCTGAAGGAGCCAGTTTGCGCTGGCAGCATAGCCCAGAAAACTGCCATTTCAAAACCACATGGCTTTTTTTCTGCTACCACTGAATCAGGAAAACCTCTCTTAAAGGAGCTGCAGCATGCCACCAGCAAACAGCAAGAAGCTGTTTTAAACTCTGGGCTTTTTTGTGTCTAGAATTCCTTTTCAAACTCTCTCAGGTTTTATGTGGATTTAGCAAGAACACGATGGAGCAACACATATATACAGAAGGACTTCCTACATCAAACATAGACAACAAAGAGGACCCTAAGAGAGACATACATGGATCTAATCTACATGGGAAGTAGAAAAAGACAAGATCTCCTGAGTAAATTGGGAACGTGGGGATAATAGGAGAATGGGGAGGGAGGAGGGATAAAGAAAAATATATAGCTCAATAAAAACAATAATAAATAAAGACTCCCTTCTCAGGCGCCTCTAGACTGTGTCAAGTTGACAGGTGACGCTAACTAGGCAGAAAGTATCTCATGAGATTGTACTCCAGGGCTACACCAGTCATTCTAGAAGCAACTCATTGAAACTATTTGAAAACTGGAAATGACAGATTTGCAAAACAGACCTAAAATGAAAACTCACAGGACAGATATAAAGCAGAAAAGAGATGGCAGAGGCAGGGGTCAGTGAGCAAAGACAGATGATGCCTATCAGGAAAAAGGGATAGATGGAGTGAATAACACCCCAGTGATGGTTACAGTAGGACCAAGATGTCCAACACACATGCAGAATAAAAAAGGGGGAACCCCACGTGACAGCCAAAGTGCACCATCTTAAAAACAACAGGGAAGTCAGTGACTAGCCAGATACTGTAGCCAAACATATGTCACCATGTCACTTCTCAGCATTGATGCAGGAGAAACTGGAGCATCTGCCACACAAACAACCATCAGTGCTCATAGCAGCCTCATTCACAATGGCCTTAAACTAGAAACAGTCTAATAACAACCAATGGGGAGTGGAGAAACAGTCTGTGACATGTTCACACAATCAAACAAACAAACAACAAATCAGCTCAGGTGTCGGGGACAGACTGGCAAGGCACTCCAGAAGCCTCTTCAGGAGGAAAATGTATGTTTGCTTCTTGGTGTGTGGTCTCACGGTGCTATACAGCTGCCAGAGCTCAGACTCTTACATGGATGAAGTTTATTGTGTCTGAGTTATTCCTCAGCAAAACTGATTTTAAAAACAAAGAATTAACCAGAGAGGACATACCTCAACACACAAGGGGACAATGATATTAATGACAGATGACATCACATAAAAGAGAGGCTCAGAGTGGCAGCAGCAGCACAGGGAGTAGGAGGCCCCTGATGCTGTTCCTCCTGATGATGGGAAGACAATGGTGTAACCTCACCATGGCTCAGAAGTCCCCTAGCACGTCACAGAAGCAGGTATGCTCATCCTGTGAACTTCGTGGAAATGGGTAAGAAAAGCTGCCTGGCTCTAGTCACTTCTTTGCCAAGCTGACACAGCTCCTAGAGACCGGCAGGAAAAGGCCAACTAGTAGCTTCCCCTTGGGAGGGAATGAGAAGAGGGAGGCGTGTGCCCAACATTCCAGCTTCCATAGCACTGCCAAGGGACTTGACTCTGCTGGCTCAGACTCCAAGCACAGAGGACCAATCAGCACACCTTGGCCTGAGGGCTGCCAGAAACAGATCTCAGCAGCAGCTCCTGCACCGGAACCTATGGCAGCTTGAATAAAAGCATGCCCACCCCTCAGGGCTGGAGAAAGTATCCAGCAATTCCCCTGGGAGGAAAGAGGACAGTAGAGCAAGTGTCTGTGTCTAACACTCTGGCGCTCAGGAAAGCTGCCTGGGGCACTAATGTCCAGCTCACTAGACTGTGGTACAGATAAAGTTTATCCTTTGAGTTTAACTTTCTCCTTTTCTGAAAGGAAAGACAGAGGACCGAGTTGAGGCATTTTTTCCTTTTTAAGTGCAAATGTTAGCAGCTGTGAATATCTAACACACAATGACTTCCATCGTTTGCACTGATCAGAAATATGCAATGAAGAAAAATGAAGAAAATTTAGGGAGACTCCACTTCACCTAGTTGAGGTCCTCTGGAGTTACACGCTTCATCTTCCTTTACTGTCTGTAGGAGCTGTAGTGGTCACTCCTTCATTCCTAATATTGGTAATTTATCCCTGTTGTTCTTGATATTAATTTAAAAAACAAATATTTCCTTATTAATATTCTATTTCATATTTCACTTATTTTTTCTAATTTATTTCCCCTACATACTGAGACTAATTTCTGTTTCAAAGGCTAAAGTAGTATCTACTCAAGTCTTTTTAATGTACACAATTGCAGACCTTAAAACACTGTTTGCTTCATGTCACAATATTTAGTGTGACATATTTTTCTACCAAGATAAAAATATTTTTAATTTTTCCAATTTTCTTTGGCCCTTCTGTTATTCAGAGTTAACTTGTTTAGTAGCAAAATATTGGAAGTGGCCTAGATACCGCATTGTTGGTTCCTAACTCAGTTCCATTACTATAGAGAATATATTCTGCAAGATGCCAGGTTTTAACATTTTTATTGAATGAAGAAAATTCTTTTCAGCAAATGGTGCTAGAACTGAATATACACATGGGAAAAATAAAAGCCCACCCCACTACCATGCATACAATTAATTCAAGGAAAATCACAGAGCTAAATAGAGTTCCTAAAAGTAAACAGAAGAAAAAGCCTTACAGCCTAGGGGTAAACAGATATTTCCTAAGATACAGGAACTCCTACCAAGAAAAATCAAAACAAAAAACCTGGTGGAAAGCTCTTTACAACTTAAAATACTCTGACTATCAAGAAAGAACATTAAGGAAATTGAAAACTAAACTACAAACTGGAAGGAAAAATTATAAAAATGTAAGTAAAAAGAGTTTATATACAGCATTAATAAAACATTAAATATTATAAAATGAGGGACATACTCCATAAGTTCATGAAATTGCTCAAGATAGAAGTCATCAGAGGAAAGCAGATTAACCATGAGATGTCCTTTCACTCCAACCAGAGCAAGTAAGATGGAAACACTGACAACAGCAACTATAGGCAAGGCTGCAGGGCTGGTCTTCCCATTTATTGATGGTGACGGCGACAATATAACATGTACAACCACTAAGGAAGACAGGGAGTATTTCTTATAAAGTTAAGTACAGGTGCCTTGTTAGAAGTGGGCAGAGTATCAGACTCATAAAGTTAAACACATACCTTCCCTATCTATCCTATTCATACTAGCTAAAGACATAACAACATCAACTATAAAAATATTTAGAAGGCATATAGCTCTACTTATAATAGCCCAAAACTAGAAGCAACTCCCGTCCCCATCAGCAGGGGCATCAACGCACAGTCACCTCATGGCATGGAGAAAGACATTCTGCAGGGCGAGCGTCCCCAGACACCGACTCTATGCTCTCACTGTGCTGCTCACACAAAGCTCAGCAGGAGAGAAAACCGGTCTATGGTGATGGAGGACCAGGCAAATCGCTTACGCAGTAGAGATTTCGATGAACTGCTGAGGCACCCAGAAGCCTTCTGAGGTGGCAGAAAGTTCCCACATCCTGTCTAGGATATTACACTGATCCTCACACTTCAGAGAACTCATCCAGTCAAAATATACTCGACATACACACCTCTCACTATATACATTCATCTCAAAGGAAAAAGATGAAAACAACTTACGAGAATTGCAACACTCATGAGAAAATCATAATTTTTAAAACAGGGATTATGAAATGCAGTTTTAGAGTAAGAACACAAGCACCACCAAACTTAGCACAGATACTGCTCTGGGCTAAAGATTTCTCTGAAATGCAAAGGACTTCGCAAGGCCTCTGCCTCCATCACTCAGCTTGGCCTCCTAATGCCACAGAGCCCTTCAAACAAAGCGACAGTAAGACAGACATAAATAAATAGAAAAGGGTTAACAGGAAATGACAGAGTTCAGGGTTCAGTAAAGGAAGGACATCTTACCTGTCGGGAGGGGGATGTAGATCCTCTTCTCTAGTCTCCTTCGCAAAGCTTCATCGATGTCCCACGGGAAGTTAGTGGCCGCCAGAACCATCACCATTTTGGACGGATCATCATTTTCTAAGGCTCCTCCAACTCCTGGGCACAAGGAGCAGGGAACAGGCTGTCAGTGCTGTGACGGACACTTCGATCCTTTCCCTCAGTCAGCCTCTCTAAGTGTCAGCCACAGCTCTTGATGGACCTCACTCAAGCAACTTCACCATCTCTGCAACCTTGATAGAGTGGTAAACCCAGACAGCAACACAGAACAAAAAAGAGGAGCTAGAAATTTGACAACCTAGGGCAGGGATCTCCCCATCTTTATGTAAGGACAGAGTGCACATTGCTTCTGAAATTCAGACTGCAGTCCACTTAGTCTGTTGATGTTCCCATTGTAAACTGCCTCTGCTGTTTTCTTCCTCTTAGTTTTGGGTTTAACTTAGTTGGCTTTCTGAGGAAGTGAGGCCAACTAGCACACTGTATGTAGTGTTTTGCTTCTTCACAATGAAAATGATAGGATTAAAAAGATTAAAAACTGTATCTGAGCATGATGGTGCACACTTTTAATCCTAGCACATGGTGGGCAGGGGCAGGTGAATCACTGTGAGTTCAAGGCTAGCCTGATCTATGTAATGAGCTCAAGAACAGCAGGAATTACAAAATAAAGAGAACCTGTCTCAAAAAGGCAAAACAATGACAACAAAACCTTTGAGAGTGTGTAACCGGCTCTGGGCAATACACTGTGAAATATCATTGATGCATGAGCTCACAAACATGATTGGCTCTCAAAGTAGCATAATTTGAGCAACCCAGTTCAACATGCATAATAAATAAATCATTACTAAATGCCTTTTTAAATCATTCTTAGGAGGAATAAAGCTGTCCAACTAACAAGCAGTCATGATACTATTCAATGAACTCCTGCTGGCTGAATGTATATTTAGTGATGCCCTGGCCACAATTTTAAACACTTAATGTTGTGTGCTGTGCTTTCCTCCCAAGTAAAACATATTCCTTCCTTTCATATATAAGCAAGAGTTGAAATGGTGCACTAACTGAGGGACAGGTGTCCTAGCACACAGTGCCATTATTGGTCTCTCAGTGCCTAGCATTGTGCACCATGTGATGTTAAGGACCCATCCTAAGTGTAGTGCTTTGAATGAAAATGGCCCCCATAGGCTCCTATGTTTGAATGCTTGGGCCTCAATTAGTGGAATTTTTTGGGAAGGATTAGGAGGTGTGTCCTTGCTAGAGAAGATGTGTCACTGGGGGTGGGCTTTGAGGTTTCCAAAGCCCACCCCAGGCAGTCTCAGCCACTTCCTGGTGTAGGAGTTCCTTCTGTGTGTTGCTTTCATTGGTTAATGAATAAAGAAACTGCTTTGTCCTAGTTGATAGGGCAGAACATAGGTAGGCGGAGAAAAGAGAACTGAATGCTGGGAGGAAGAAAAGCAGAG